ATTGGAGAGGTTTGAAAACGAATGCAAGAAACCAATAGCACATCTGGTTTACTCTCAAAATACCGAGTCACAGTTTTGCAAAATACTATATATCGAATCACACAATTCCTCTTTGAAAAAAACATGTACACCCAGCAAAGGTTAGAAAGATCAATCAAAGAAGACAGAGTCTGAGAAGATGGCCAATTCAGATGATGAAAATTATGGACATATGGCAGAAAGCAATGCAGACGATATCAATGATCAACGTGCAGGTGGAGTGGATTGCGACACTACAATTCTATATTATCATGAAGATGACACAGTTGAAAAGAGTTCAATGGAGATTGAAGGTCAACCAGAAAAGGAAGCAAAACTCACAGAAGAAGAAATAAAAGAGATTTTGAAAGTGCTTATAAATCTTAACACAAAGAAATGGTAAAGCCAGACTCCAAAAATGCTTGCAAGCTACTTTGAATCAGCAGAAACTTTGAAGAAATTCACTGTGAAAGAGTTGGTTGAAATAACAAATTACTGGAATGTGCACAAAAGGCGGAACAAAGTTGTTCTATAAACAGGAAGGGTTCTTAAAGCGGATCTGGTCAACCAACTTTCTAACGTCCTTTCTGATGGGACAACAATTGAAAAGGCGAATAGACGCAAAAGAAAAGGACGTGTAGTTCCACTGAAAGACATAGTAAGGCGTGCTATTATGATGAAGAAATATCCAAAGCAAGTGTTAAACATTGCATTTTGTCAGTTCATATGGTCTGACCGATTGCAGTTGTGGTACAGCACCGCCCATGTGCTTCCTGAAATAAAGATAATGGGTATAGAAGATACACTGATCCCATACTACGTACCAGATTTAAATCAGGAAGGTGAATTTGAGGTTTTTGTCTACGATAAGACGCATCTAGGTAGCAATCTGAGAAAAGCAGTCTGTGTTGACAAAGTAGATTGAATTTCAAAAAAAGCATGGCAGAAAGTCTCAAATTCAAACCCAAATATTTTAAATCCTACTTTGTTGGAAGTATCAGAAGAGGGAAAGATTGTGGACCAAATGAAGGAAGCTTTGGCAAGAAATATGTTTAGCAAGAATGTTGAATCTATCATGTTGCAGAATCATGATATCAATGAGGCAAACTTTTGCAAAGTTATAAGGGAGGCTCTGTATATTGCAGACGATCAACCAGGCATAAGTGCTCTAGAAAGATGTAGATATCGCATGGCACTTATTAAATGGCTTGATGAGGGAGTAAACTTTGGTGAATTTCCTCCGTACGGGTCAAGAATTAAAGGGTTGTCCTATATACTTTATGAAGGCCTCAGAACCAGTATGGAAGCTAAGTTATACCTTTATGTCCTTCCCAAGAAAGGTACCTACTGCGTTAGAGCTGCCAACACCCTGTGTTCTGAATCATTCTTCTCTACAATGCAAGAGATGGATCCCTGGGGACAGGGAATATTGTCAACGAGTGGAGTGGAAAAATACATAACAGATTTTACAATGGTAACGGCGATGAAAATGAAGGATGATAAGTATGTACACGATTATTTTATTTATATGACATGATCATGTTAATATACACACGTGGGCATTAATGAAAACTTTTGCATGATTTTATTGCTTTGAGCAATTGCTACAAAATAATAATGAAAAAAGACATTATAAACTGCAGAACTTGAACTGTTTCCAAAACGCAGGTATTTATGAAATTACATTTTCCTCGAATCAGGCCTTTTTTTGTCAAAACTAAGAGATCCACAGCCTACCCATTGCAGCACATTCCTTCTCTTCCGGAGCAATCATCCATATTTGATCACAGTGGAACATGCAGATGCCGAGCTAACAATCTGATCAGCTGCATACAACCAAGGTTTGTTTTCATATACACACACACACACACACTCACTCACCCTGACATACGCACTTCAAACGCACCCTCCTTTACACACGTCCTCTTGCACACATACATACACAGGAAGGTAGGGAAGAGAAAGAGAGAGAATTATGAACATCGCAATCAGGTTATTTATCTTTTTTTGCAGGGATCATTTCTTTGATACAGCCGACCGTGCTAGATGTCAGCATCATCAGGACAAACCATTCCAATTTTCGGAAATCAATGCACCAGCTCGTGGGGACCAACCGATACGTCAGCAATACGGGTATCGCATTAATGAGGCAAAAATACTACCTTCGAAAAGACTTGGACTGAATTTAGATGACGTTTAATACAGCAGAACCAATCTTTAATGAATATTGTGCATTTTAGTAAAAACTTTAAAATGTTTTCTTCATCTACTTAAAAAGTCGGTCTTGACAGCAAGGTTAAACTTATCAAAAAAATGAATGAACAATTTTAAAAATTAAATATTAAATGAAATTGCATGAATGCATGCAATAAACATAAACCGTTGCATAAAAATGTCTGTCTTGACATCTTGTACATGAACCGAATTCGTAACAAGGTTGTGCATTGTAACACATTAATTGACCAAATGTAGTAAACATAATTGAAACGTACGAGTTTGTTTTGGTCTACTCTGATAAACAGTTAGTCACTGTGATATTTCTCTTTGTGAATCTTCAAAGATGATGGGTATTGGTAGGACTTCCCACATTTTTCGCACATGAAGCTGCTGTCTCGGTGACCATACCTGGAGTGACGTCTCAAAGCCCTGATTGTAGTAAATGTGTGCTGACATATATCACATTTGTTCTGTGGTGGCGCTGCAGATTTAGTTAAGCTGCATCTTTTTTTGTGATCAATTAAATTGTATGCATATGCAAATTGTGAACCACAGGCGCATGCAAACTTTGAACACCCATGCATTGTTCTTTTATGTCCCTCAAAAGAAACCTTCGTAGCGAATGTATCTGGACATAGCTCACACTGAAACAACTTGATTTGCAGGTGCACTACACGTTCATGTCTCTTTGTGTTGGATTTAACATTAAATGATTTTTCGCAATAATTACATTTGAACAGCTTTTCTTCTTTTCCATGAGCTCTCTTTTCATGGGATAAAAGTCTCCCCTTCTGCGAGTAGCATTTGGTGCACTGTCTGCACTTAAATTCTTTTCTGCCTAAACTAGACATCTGCAATAGTGTATAACATGTATAATAATATATTTAAATTATGAAGAAGCGTAAAAGAATCAATTATTTGTAATCAGGGTCAGTGTAATTGTTGGAGAGAATATTTAACCATAATCTGTTTGGGTTTTATAACAAACTTAATGATTCATGTCTGTATGAAATAACATCGCTCGATGCAAAGCGAAGTTCTGTTAATGTTTGAGTAATTTTTTATTTCCATTTCATTCTAATAAGATTTCATTTGTTTCACTCAATATCTGTAAAGTCAATGATGTGCAACTTTGCCCTTACACATGAAACTATCGTGTCACCACACATCTTATTTTATTACTTACAGTATAATTTTTTTTTATAATACATCATGGCAATGCTAATTATTTGTAAACAAATGTGAAACCTAATTATTGTTTTCAAGGTGTAATGCGCAGTGAAATTATCTGTGCCACCGCATGTTTAAATTTTTACAGTGGCATTAAAAAATTTGCTAGTATTATTTTGTGATTCAATGATTACCTTATGAACCACTTTTTCCTCGGACTTCAAGAAATAAACACGTTAAATTCTACTGACGACTCCTGTCCTATTTTAAAGGTTCAAGCTTTTAATTAATCACCAAATAACGCAGTGATACATCATTAAAGAAATGGTTAAAAAGTTTATTACATGTATTTCCATACCTTTTTTTTTTTGGAGGGGGGGGTTAAAAATCAACATTAATTTTACCGCATGTCCAATATATTTCGATGATCAGTTCTAGGTCGCAAATACACTTTAAGTAAAGTTTAATAATATCATCATGTGCATGATCATCGATGAATAAAATGCATGAATTTATAAAAATATTGATAATGAACAATGCAGCATTTGATTTTCCTTCAAAGGCATAGAAAAGTCAAAATGTGCTTGCAAATATAATGAAATGTCTTCATATTATAGCCAATACTTAAAAATTTGATCATTAAAAAGGGGAAATGTGGTGTAGTAGGTGGATAATGGAGATCGCATAAAAATTTTGAAACTTTTTGTTATTAATCTCAGGCATAACCCGAGATCTCTTTCACAACTGAAGGATCTCCTGCATCGGCAACGTTATTTACTTCGAATATTGACCAAACAATACACATACTAAAGTCCAAATTTGTGTGGATAAGATGTAATTGATGCAGTCTAATGGGGAACTCAGAATATTTAAGGTTAGTTGAGAGTAAGACGAATTCCAGTCGGTAAACATGTTTTCAATCAGCGTTTTCGCTCTACCGGCAATTGCTTCAAAACAAAAATCGTCGCTAAACGACAATCCTTGCATTTTATTAGAGTGTGAAATAAAAGAAAAATAAATTGCTCATGGAATCACATTCTTATATTTTAATTAAAATTTCAATTATTGCCTGTATCGGGTCAACTTACCATGTGTGTGTTAAAAAAGTTTGATTCACTTGCATAACCGGAAATCGATCTCTTTTGATTGTTATACACAACTGCTGGTTGTGCAAGTGATCGATTAGCAGGCGTGTTAATAGTCATTAATTTCACTCTACATTGAAACACAAAATAAAATTTTAATGACAGTTTATTCTACCGTGATTTCCAAGAAACTTTTGCAAAGGAGACACAAAAAATGCACAGATTGAAAGCAATATTAACAATATTACTGGTGAGGCAATACATCGATAGAATAGATTTCAGATCATTTTCTTAGCATGAAAAGGCAAATTAGAATAAAATAAATTGATAAAATTTTGGGCATGTAAATGTTCAGGCTAGCATAATAGGTGGGTGTATCTGCCCGAAGGTTTCTTGTGTATACAAACCTACATATTAATCTTATGAGAAATTGCCAATGGATGGAGTGATTACATATTCATCACCCATTCACAATTTAATTCTAAATAATTTCTTTTTTGCAGACTAAGCATGAATAGAAGAACAAAAGAAGAAGAAAGACTGAGAAAAAGGAGAGAAAGATTATTATCTCAAAATAAAAGTATCTTAAAAAGAGATTCTTCTACAGAACCACATGTAATAGAAAAAGAAGATGAAAAATTATCAGATGAAAGTTTTCAAGTATATTCGCAGAATGTTCCTCAATGGATGAATTCATACTTAAAAGACCAGCATGTTAAGCAACAAAACCACGCATCCTGTAAAACTCAACACATCCCTACCAAGAATGCATGTAGAATGCAAGTCAAAAGACTTGACCCTGAATATCGCAGTAGAGAACGACAAAGGGATATGTTAAATAAAAGGAATCGGAGACAAGATATTGTTAAAAGACAAGAAGAAAAAGTCAAAGACGCTAAAGCTAAAAGTGAAAAAAGAAAAGACCCTCAAATATCAAAAGAAGAACAACTAAAGAACACTCAGTCCAGGAAAAGAAAGCGTGAAGATCCTCAAATAAGAAACAGGAGCAGTTGAGAGATACTAGTGCTAGAAGGGAAAAAAGGAAAGACCCTCAAATATCAAAAGATGAACAAGTAAAAGATACTCTATCCAGGAAAAGAAAGCGTGAAGATTCTCAAGTAAGAAAACAGGAGCAGTTGAAAGATACTAGTGCTAGAAGAGAAAAAAGAAAAGACCCACAAATATCAAAAGAAGAACAACTAAAGAACACTCAGTCCAGGAAAAAAAAAGCGTGAAGATCCTCAAGTAAGAAAACAAGAACAGTTGAGAAATACTAGCACTAGAAGAGAAAAAAGACAAGATCCACAAATATCAAAAGAAGAACAACTAAAGAACACTCTTTCCAGGAAAAAAAACGTGAAGATCCTCAAGTTAGAAAACAGGAACAGTTGAGAGATACTAGTGCTAGAAGAGATAAAAGGAAAGACCCTCAAATATCAAAAGATGAACAAGTAAAAGATACTCTATCCAGGAAAAAAAGCGTGAAGATCCTCAAGTAAGAAAACAGGAGCAATTGAGAGATACTAGTGCTAGAAGAGAAAAAAGACAAGATCCTCAAATATCAAAAGAAGAACAACTTAAGAACACTCTTTCCAGGAAAAAAAGCGTGAAGATCCTCAAGTAAGAAAACAGGAACAGTTGAGAGATACTAGTGCTAGAAGAGAAAAAAGAAAAGACCCACAAATATCAAAAGAAGAACAACTAAAGAACATTCTTTCCAGGAAAAGAAAGCGTGAAGATCCTCAAATAAGAAAAAAGGAGCAGTTGAGAGATACTAGTGCTAGAAGAGAAACCAGAAGTCTCTATCGAGACTGAAGCTCTACTGGTTTGTACTTATAGCAAAGCAAGAGAAAAGTACTTAAGCAGTTGGAAATTGAAACTATTTAATAGAAATATCTATTTTTAGTAACCATGGCAACACCATTCATTGAAGTGAAAAACTGATATACAGAATTATGTACCTTAGTGTAGTCTACCTGTGTGCCAAGTTATATTGAAATAAGACCATAACTGTAGGAGGTGTAGCATTTTGAAAGAATTTCACAGAAATTTCTATTTTTAGTAACTACGGCAACACCGTTCCTCGAAATCAAAAACCGATATATAGAATTACATACCTTAGTGTAGTCTACTTGTGTGCCAAGTTATATTGAAATCAGACCAAAACTGTAGGAGGAGTAGCATTTTGAAAGAATTTCACAGAAATTTCTATTTTTAGTAACCACGGCAACACCGTTCATCGAAATCAAAAACCGATATACAGAATTAGGTATCTTAGTGTAGTCTACTTGTGTGCCAAGTTATATTGAAATCAGACCAAAACTGTAGGAGGAGTAGCATTTTGAAAGAATTTCACAGAAATTTCTATTTTTAGTAACCACAGCAACACCGTTCATCGAAATCAAAAACCGATACACAGAATTATGTATCTTAGTGTAGTCTACTTGTGTGCCAAGTTATATTGAAATCAGACTAAAACTGTAGGAGGAGAAGCATTTTTAAAAGAATTTCACAGAAATTTCTATTTTTAGTAACCACAGCAACACCGTTCCTCGAAATCAAAAACCGATACACAGAATTATGTATCTTAGTGTAGTCTACTTGTGTGCCAAGTTATATTGAAATCAGACCAAAACTGTAGGAGGAGTAGCATTTTAAAAAATTGTTTACAGACAGACAAACGGACAGCTAGACAGGCGGACGGACGACGGACGCATTACTATCGCATAAGCTCTTCTGGTCTCTGACCAGTAGAGCTAAAAAGAACAGACCCTCAAATATCAAAAGAAGAACAACTAAAGAACACTCTTTCCAGGAAAAGAAACCGTGAAGATCCTCAAATAAGACAGCAGGAACAGTTGAGAGATACTAGTGCTAGAAGAAATAAACGTAAGAATCCTAGCATTAGAGAGAATGAACGATCAATAGAAACAGTTGCAAGAAGAAATAAGAGAGCTCCTCCAACATTAGAAAATAATGCAATCAGTCTTTTCAAGAGAAAAATTTTTGAAGGACCTTCATTTATTTGTGTTTCTTGTCAAAGACTATTATATCGGTCATCTGTCTCTCGTCTCAATATGGAAAACTTTGTGAATATTCAAGAAGAATTATTGTCGTCATGTATATCCTCTGTAAAATCACATGGTGGACTTGAGTACATATGTAGCTCTTGCAAGTCTTCTATTCTTAAAGGTACATGTACTATTCCAAGCATCTCAGTCGCCAATGGACTGAAACTTGATGAACTTCCAAATGAGTTGAAAGATTTAAATAGTTTAGAAGCAGTTTTCATTTCTAGAAGAATTCCATTTATGAAATTGGTTGCTTTACCTAGGGGAAAACAAAAATCAATACATGGTTGCGTTGTAAATATTCCTATAGAAATACAACAGACTTTATCTGTACTTCCGAGAGTTCCATCATCAGATTCATTTATTACTGTTAAACTCAAAAGGAAGATCAAATACAAAGGCCATGTTTACATGCAAAATATCAGACCTAGGAAGATTGAAAATGCTTTACAAAATCTAAAGTATGTGATGAAAAATCCTCTATATGAGGATGTTATTTTAAATGAGAATTGGACGCAAGAAGCTCAAGAGAAAGACGACAATTTGTGGACCACTTTAATTAACACATATTCTGAAAACTCTGAATCAGAAACCAATGATGAAGACAACACATCTGATGAAGAGGATGAAAGAAGTAGATTAAGTGGCCTTCCATTTGATACTTGCATTCAGCCAAAAGACATTACTATTGACTAGTGTTGGCAAATCGGACGATTTTTCGTAACCGGTTACTCGCATAATCTTCCGATCGAGTACCCGGTTACTGGGATGATTTATTCAAATGTATCATTGATCTCATCCTTCACTCATCGGTTCTAATAAAACACAAAGGTATTGTGATTTAACTTTATTTATAAACTTAAAAAGAACACGCACGCATTATCTTGTATTTTAAATATAGTTATAATCAAAAAATTACTTAAATCAGAAGAAAAATAAATATTCAGTGTTGCACGCTATTTTACAATGGCGTTCATCAGTTTTTTAGCTCTACTGGTCAGAGACCAGAAGAGCTTATGCGATGGTAATGCGTCCGTCGTCCGTCCGTCTGTCTGTCTGTCTGTCTGTCTGTCTGTCCGTCTGTAAACAATTTTTCAAAATGCTACTCCTCCTACAGTTTTGGTCTGATTTCAATATAACTTGGCACACAAGTAGACTACACTAAGATACATAATTCTGTGTATCGGTTTTTGATTTCGATGATCGGTGTTGCCGTGGTTACTAAAAATAGAAATTTCTGTAAAATTCTTTCAAAATGCTACTCCTCCTTCAGTTTTGGTCTGATTTCAATATAACTTGGCACACAAGTAGACTACACTAAAGTACATAATTCTGTGTATCGGTTTTTGATTTCGATGATCGGTGTTGCCGTGGTTACTAAAAATAGAAATTTCTGTAAAATTCTTTCAAAATGCTACTCCTCCTACAGTTTTGGTCTGATTTCAATATAACTTGGCACTCAAGTAGACTACACTAAGATACATAATTCTGTGTATTTGGTTTTTGATTTTGATGAAAGATGTTGCCATGGTTACTAAAAATAGAAATTTCTGTAAAATTCTTTCAAAATGCTACTCCTCCTACAGTTTTGGTCTGATATCAGTATAACTTGGCACACAAGTAGACTACATTAAGATACATAATTCTGTGTATCGGTTTTTGATTTCGATGAACGGTGTTGCAGTGGTTACTAAAAATAGAATTTTTTGTGAAATTTTTCAAAATGCTACTTCTCCTACAGTGTTGGTCTGATTTCAATATAACTTGGCGCAAAAGTAGACTACACTAAGATACATAATTCTATTTATCGGTTTTTGATTTCGATGAAAGGTGTTTACTAAAAATTGAAATTTCTGTGAAATTCTTTCAAAATGCTACTCCTCCTACAGTTTTGGTGTGATTTCAATAAAACTTGGCACACAAGTAGACTACAATAAGGTACATAATTCTGTGTATTGGTTTTTAGCTCTACTGGTCAGAGACCAGAAGAGCTTATGCGATAGTAAGGTGTCCGTCGTCCGTCCGTCTGTCTGTCTGTCTGTCTGTCCGTCTGTCTGTAAACAATTTTTCAAAATGCTACTCCTCCTACAGTTTTGGTCAGATTTCAATATAACTTGGCACACAAGTAGACTACACTAAAGTACATAATTCTGTGTATCGGTTTTTGATTTCGATGATCGGTGTTGCCGTGGTTACTAAAAATAGAAATTTCTGTAAAATTCTTTCAAAATGCTACTCCTCCTTCAGTTTTGGTCTGATTTCAATATAACTTGGCACACAAGTAGACTACACTAAAGTACATAATTCTGTGTATCGGTTTTTGATTTCGATGATCGGTGTTGCCGTGGTTACTAAAAATAGAAATTTCTGTAAAATTCTTTCAAAATGCTACTCCTCCTACAGTTTTGGTCTGATTTCAATATAACTTGGCACTCAAGTAGACTACACTAAGATACATAATTCTGTGTATTTGGTTTTTGATTTTGATGAAAGATGTTGCCATGGTTACTAAAAATAGAAATTTCTGTAAAATTCTTTCAAAATGCTACTCCTCCTACAGTTTTGGTCTGATATCAGTATAACTTGGCACACAAGTAGACTACATTAAGATACATAATTCTGTGTATCGGTTTTTGATTTCGATGAACGGTGTTGCAGTGGTTACTAAAAATAGAATTTTTTGTGAAATTTTTCAAAATGCTACTTCTCCTACAGTGTTGGTCTGATTTCAATATAACTTGGCGCAAAAGTAGACTACACTAAGATACATAATTCTATTTATCGGTTTTTGATTTCGATGAAAGGTGTTTACTAAAAATTGAAATTTCTGTGAAATTCTTTCAAAATGCTACTCCTCCTACAGTTTTGGTGTGATTTCAATAAAACTTGGCACACAAGTAGACTACAATAAGGTACATAATTCTGTGTATTGGTTTTTAGCTCTACTGGTCAGAGACCAGAAGAGCTTATGCGATAGTAAGGTGTCCGTCGTCCGTCCGTCTGTCTGTCTGTCTGTCTGTCCGTCTGTCTGTAAACAATTTTTCAAAATGCTACTCCTCCTACAGTTTTGGTCAGATTTCAATATAACTTGGCACACAAGTAGACTACACTAAGATACATAAAATAGTGCATGGGTTTTTGATTTCGATGAACGGTGTTGCCATGGTTACTAAAAATAGAATTTTCTTTGAAATTCCTTTAAAACGCTACTCCTCCTACAGTTTTGGTATGATTTCAATATTACTTGGCACACAAGTAGACTACACTAAGATACATAAAATGGTGCATCGGTTTTTGATTTCGATGAACGGTGTTGCCATGGTTACTAAAAATAGAATTTTCTTTGAAATTCCCTTAAAACGCTACTCCTCCTACAGTTTTGATTTTATTTCAATATTACTTGGTACACAAGTAGACTACACTAAGATACATAAAATAGTGCATCGGTTTTTGATTTCGTTGAACGATGTTGCCATGGTCACTCAAAATTGAATTTTCTTTGAAATTCCTTTAAAACGCTACTCCTCCTACAGTTTTGATTTGATTTCAATATTACTTGGCACACAAGTAGACTACACTAAGATACATAAAATAGTGCATCGGTTTTTGATTTCAGTGAACGATGTTGCCATGGTTACTAAAAATAGAATTTTCCTTGAAATTCCCTTTAAAATGCTACTCCTTCTACAGTTTTGGTCTGATTTCAATATTATGTAAGACACAAGTAGACTACACTAAGATACATGAAATAGTGCATTTGTTTTTTATTTTGATGAACGGTGTTGCCATGGTTACTAAAAATAGAATTTTCTTTCAAATTTCTTTGAAATGCTACTCCTCCTACAGTTTTGATTTGATTTCAATATTACTTGGCACACAAGTAGACTACACTAAGATACATAAAATAGTGCATTGGATTTTAATTTCGATGAACGATGTTGCCATGGTTACTCAAAATTGAATTTTCTTTGAAATTCCTTTAAAACGCTAGTCATCCTACAGTTTTGGTCTGATGGCAATGGCTTCTTTTCTCATCCTTTGTTATAAGTACAAACCAGTAGAGCTACAGTCTTGACAGAGACTTCTGGTCTTTTCAACCCCTGATATATGTCACGTTCAAGGAGAATAATGATTTAGAAATTTGAAGTCACGATAACTCCAATTCATATTAATTACATTTTACAGGTATGGAACCAGCTGTTCTTTTAAAATACTTCCAAGCTATACATGTCTTTGGCGGCATCTTGTTAAATTATTTAATGAGGTAATTATAACTTGGGTCTTCAAAACTTGTATAACTTGCTGGTTATCAAAGCTATCAATTAAGGTAGGGCCGTACTTTCAAAATTTTCTGTCAAACTAATAATTTTTTAATTTGAATACCTCAGATAAGTCATAAACTAAGTAAAACACCCAAAAAATACATATCTTTGCAGGTGAATTTTCATACAACGTGTCTCAGAGTACATACCTCTAAAACTTCAACAGCCAAAATTGATCTTAAAGAAGTGAGATATCATATTTCATTTAGCTATGCACCAAATCACATTCAATTTATGTTAAAACTTATGAAAATCAAAAACATTCATTTGCCAAGAGAATATTTGAAATCTTTACTGGAAAACATTCACAAATTGATGTTGAACCTGCCCATGTCTTTCAAATAAAAATCTCAAAATTCAATTATTTTGAATAATTCTCAAAATTGAAACTGTTTAGATGCCATTTTTTCTTTAAAAACATTAAGAATTATATTTAAGGTTAACAAAGACACATAGTTTATTATGTTCAACCAGATAAATTTAACAAAACAGCCTTTTGAACACGTATACCCCCATATTTTAAATATCAATTTCTCAATCATTTTTGGCAAAAAATTTTTAAGTTAAATTTAAAAAGATGATATAGGCTTTAAAATCAATCAAATTAGATCTAAAGTTAGTTTGTTTAAAAAAAAATTAAAAAGCATTTGGTCCATAAAGGCAATTAAGAATTTTGTGTCTGTGTATTACTAAATGACATATAGTTCCTACGCACAGAGTGCAAAATGTAAAAATGTCCATAAATAACGATTTTAAATGCTAAATTATATTAAAATAAACAAATACTTTCTAAATTATTTTCAATCATCCAAATAGTTTTTTTCAACAGATAAGTGATAATCAGAATTTTATATTGGTGTGTAAAATTAAAACCGGATCCGTAAAAGTATGGACCTTCCTTAAGTGTGAAAACCAATCAATAGTATTAGTGAAACCATAGTTCATTAAGTCTAACGGTAAGAAATTAGAGAAATGTTTATTTGTACGCTTATAAACAAATTCACATTTTATTTTTTAGTTATTTACCATATAAGATGTATTTTGTCCGAGTAACCGAATAGCAATTTTACTTACCGATACTCGCATCGATCGACGGTTAACCGGGTACTCGTTGCCAACACTACTAGTGACACTAATCTTATTCTGAATTATGCACCTGGAGAGAATAAGCGTCCCTTAAGTTTCCATTGTGATGATCATTCTGAGGAGCTTAGCTTTCCTCAGTTACTACCATCTGGAAAATACGGATTTTCCATGCCCAGAGTCAAAAAGTTGTCATTGAAAAAATACTTCCAGTGCAGAATTTTGTGTCATGATACTAGATTTGCCAGCAATATTGAATACATATTCTAGGCTCAGTATCGTTGTGAAGTTAAAGAAATTCAAGACTCTTTAAGTGTTGCTCTAAGAAAAGGAAAACAGAGTAATTTGACAGCAGGCGAAATTAGAGATAACATTAAAGATTATATTCGTCACGATCTAGGAGTTCATTTTATGCAGAAGATCAGAGGATCACCTGCTTATTTTAATAAACTCTTCTTCGACTTACTAGGAATGATCCGCCATTTGGGCCCTTGAACCTGGTTTATTGCACTTTCAGCAGCTGACCTAAAGTGGACGGACACACTGACAGTGATGGCTGAACAACAAGGAATCTCCTTAACATCTGAGGACATAGAATCAATGACCTGGGAGGACAAATGCAAATATTTAAAATCAAACCCAGTGACAGCTGCTCGCCATTTTGACAATAGAGTCCAATTATTTCTGAGATGCATATTATTGAATCCAAACTTGATGCCATTCGGACATATTACTGACTACAAGTACCGAATTGAGTTCCAGCACAGAGGGTCTCCGCATGTCCATATGTTGTCTTGGGTCAAAAATGCTCCATCTATAGATACAAACTCTGAATCAGAAATAGCAGATTATATCAATACCAAAATAACTTGCAGAATTCCAGAAAATGACTCTAGCCTTGCAGACCTGATATCTCAAGTACAAAAACACTCTCATTCGATAGCTTGCAGGAAGCATGGCTACAGCTGCAGGTTTAACAAATAACAAATGTTTATTCCTGTGTGATGTATCTAGCTTCTTATGTTTCCAAGCCTGAAAAAACACTTGGTGATGTATTAAAAGCTGTTAGCAAATCTTCACAACACCTTGGGGCTAAACAGTCAATGAGAAGTGTTGCACATAAGTTTCTGACCCACCGTGAGGTCAGGGCCCAGGAAGCTGTTTATCGCCTTTTATCACTTCCATTAAGTCAAGGATCAAGAACTATACTATATGTGGACACAGATTTGCCCGAAAACCGAACACGTTTGTTCAAGCCAATGAATATTCTTTAGCAACTGGATGCAGGGGTGTGCAATTAGCATCGCCCGACGCCTGGGGCTACCACTTATTTGGGTCGGGCTAGTGATTTTCTGCAAGGAGGTAGCCCGTCGAGCTAGTAAAAGTTTTAACTACACACGCAATACATGAAAAGCACAACCGGTATTTTCACCGGTTTTTTGCAGTTTAATTCTTAACCAGTAACTATTTTCCAGACAGCATGCTCCAACTGTCAATAAATCTCAATAATCTTATCTGTTTTGCAGTATTACCTGACTTGTTTACTTCCAAAAACGATCGTTTTTTTCTTAATCCGAATTTCCTCTATTCCTTCGTTTATGGTAAATACATGCAGATATCTCATTGAAATATTTACGATCACTCAATCAACTGAAAAATACGCGTTTTGCGACACACATAAAATATATTTCTAGTGTATTTAATGATTAAACATGAAAAGAAAATGAATTTAATTTCATTCTAAATGAGCTGCTGCTAGTGCAATGTTCAGAAAAAGGGACGATGATTTATTTAAATTCATTTTAATTTTCTTTCATGATAATTTAAACATGATGTTAAAATTTAATAGTGAGAATTATACATTAATTTTAAAACGAATTAACTCAGTACCCTGACTTTTTCAACAATTAATATTTCAATTTATTTAAATTTTTGCCCCTATATTTGAGCTAGTAACTTTTTACTTGGGGCTAGTAACTTTATAGTTGCCACTATCCCGTGGGCTAGTAATAAATTTTTCTAATTGCACACCCCTGCTGGATGATGATGATCCTGATGTTTTTCTACATGGAATACTTGATAGATATCCAGCTCGACCCAATAACTCAGAAAGAATGTGTCTCCATGAATTTGTTTCTTTATATAGAACCTGTTGGAAGCCTTTGGAAACAAATGAAGCAAGAGCAATCAACAGAGAATGCAACGAAAACACACGACAGTCAGAACGTATTAACCTCAAAGACAACATGGGACACATGCTTCTCAGACAAACACCAGCATTAATTAGATATCATCAGTGGTCACCGAAAAAGCAACCAGAACAATATTTTCAAGCGCAACTTCTATTATACTTTCCTTGGAGAACAGAGATAGCAGATCTTCAAGGAAATTCTTATAAGGAAAGCTACTTGGCAAAGTTGGACATTGTTCAAGACAATAGAAGTAGATTTGAATACTTTTCTGATGAAGTTGGTGACGTTTTAGATGATATGCAAGAATATGGAATCAGAGAAGAATCTTGGCATGTAATAGCACCAGAAACTGAAAAAGAACAAATTGAAGAAGAAATTGAAGGTGCAGAAATTGAATGCAATCCTGGGAATGCTTTTGACTCTGACATTCATCAAAAAACTGCAGCAAACTTTGATTCTGGATGTACCTCATTTCACTATGAAATGCTATCAGAAGAAATGCCTACCTCAGAATGAGTGGAACGAATTTTGTCCCTGAATGAAAAACAGTATGCTCTTCATCAGTACGTTGTAGAATGGGCATCCAAAATGACTCTCTCGCATAGAATTCAAAAACCAAATCCTTTTTTACCTGTTTCTTACTGGAGGTGCTGGTGTTGGTAGGAGCCATCTAGTACGAACCATTGTGCAAACTGTAAACAGAATCTTTGCTATTAATCAGCAAGGTAATGAAAACCATGTTCTAGTGTGTGCACCTACTGGAGCTGCTGCATATAATATTTCAGGATACACATGTCATGCAGCATTCCTTCTGCCCCTCCAAGCAAAGAAAACTGATGATTACATACCACTTTCCACAGAAAAACTTGCAGTAGTGAAAGAAACATTTTCAAACATAAAATTAATTGTGATAGACGAGATCTCAATGGTTGGAGCAGATACACTGCTGACAATTCACAGACGTTTGTGTGATATTATGTCAAACACACAAACATTCGGAGGCATTTCAATATTGGCAGTAGGAGATCTTTTACAATTACCAGCTGTTGCTCAAAAGCCTATCTTTGCAAAACCTTCAGATGAAATGTCAGCAATATATGGCTCTTTATGGCAAACTCACTTCCAAATCCTTGAACTTACAGAAATACAGCGCCAAAAAAATGACAGTAGATTTGCCTCCTTATTGAATAGAGTGAGAACAGGAGATCAGACAGATGAGGATATTGCTCTCCTGAACACAAGACAAACATCTCCATCTGTAGAAAACTACCCACAACATGCGACACATATATTTGCATACAACAGAGATGTGAACACACACAATGCTGCCATATGCTTCAAACACTCTCTCAACAGCTTTGTACATTTAAAGCAAAGGATTCAAAACGAGATGAACAAACAAACAGAGTAGAAGTTTCTTCATTTTGTGATATGGCTGGAGGGTTGTCAAAGACATTGGTACTTGGGATTGGAGCACGTATCATTCTCACAAAGAATTTAGATGTCTCTGAGGGATTGGTGAACTCAGCAGCAGGAACTGTCACGGGCTTTCTTCCTCAACCTTCTCCTGATGCCATTGAATATAACCCGAAATTTATCCTGTCAAGTTTGACGATGACAAAATTGGAAGGAAAAGAAGAGACGAATACCAATCTGTTCTTCCCAATACATATAAAGACTCTATTCCAATCTTAAATCGAAATTCCAATCCCTTTGGGCAAGTCAAAAAAGATATCTTCAAAAAAAAAAACAAATTTCCACTTGCACATGCCTGGGGTTTAACAATACACAAAGAGCAAGGGAAAACAGAAGATGTATTAGTACTCTCTATGAAAGGTTCCTTTCACACAGGACAATTCTACACAGCTATCAGCAGAACAAAAACTTTAGAAGGACTCTACATTCTTGGTGCAATTGAATCACCAAAAATAAAAGTAAATATAAGTTCTCTGAATGAAATTGAGAGGATGAAGAGAGACGTCCCCTTTCTGCCATCACTGCCACTTTCTTTCCAGACGTCATCTGAAATCTATTTCAAGATCAACTTCATCAACATAAATTCACTAATTCCTCATTTCCCTTCACTTATGAAAGACAAATTTGTACAACAGAGTCATATTACAGGATTAGCAGAGACTTGGATGATTTCCTCTGATGAACATCATACCAAACTTTAACAGCTTAAGGTGTGATCAACTTCATGATCAAAATCATAACCAAAGAAAACAAAGGAGAAGTGGTGGACTACTGCTTTTTATTCATCATTTCTATATGATTAATCAGTATTATGTGGAAAATATCATCATTCAGTATCAGATGGTAGTTATCTCTCCTTGTGTTGACAGGACTGTGCGAATTTTCATCCTCTCTGTATACAATAATCCAAAAAATTCTGTACACCAATTATTATGCGACTTAGAAAGACTCTTATCCGAAATACCTACCAGTGTCAGAGCTTTTGTAGTAGGTGATTTCAATGTTGACATTTTGTGTAAATCCAACAGTTGCCAAAAACTTATAAATCTTTTTAAATATTATGGATTTCACCAGTTGTGTAAATTCCCTACTCATAGAAGAGGAGGTCTTATTGACCACTGCTACACAAATGTACATTCAGAGGACATTATTTTGTCCACAGTGCCAGTCTACTACAGTGACCACCATCTTTTATCTGCAGCAATACCATTCATGTGTTTGAAATAAAAGGTATCTTTCATTTATTTCCAACAACAGCAAAAACAAAAATTATAGATTTTTATTTGATCCTGTATATTGTTGTAAATTCAAAAATATTTTATTCTGTGACAGTCTTCACCAAATCTTTTTTTCAGCACATGCCCTTCGGGCA